GAGTGGTCTGTGTCATTTTGCACAGCATGGGAAAATTCCAAAGAACTTTCCCATGCTGTGTAAAATGACTAGCAATCAGAGTGTTCTGAGTCAAATTGCATTGAAAGGCTTTATAAGATGGTTTTTGTTTGGCTTTTTTAGGGGCTGAAAAATTAAGATTTTAGAAAAAAGAAGACATCAAATGTTAAGTTGTTTTTGTTTAGTTTTTTACAGACACTTAGTTGTTTTATTCCCCCTCACTATTTTTAGGGTGAGGGGGTAGGTAGGGGTTTAATTATTTGTTTTGCGTGGGGGGGGGTGACTAGGGGTTTGGGGACCCCTAGTCACCTTGGGGGGGGGGACAATTTCATTTATGGCCCCCACCCTCCGCTCAGGGTTTGGGGCCGGGGGGGCTGGGGGGGTGGAGGGACAATAGGTGTGTGTGTGTCCCTCGTTGATTTGATGGCCTCCACCTGCCGCTCAGGGGTGGGGGCCGGGGGGGATAACAATAGGTCGTCCCCCCCCATACTCACTTAGGGCTGTGCGGCGGGGCTGCGGGGGGTTGGACAATAGGTCTCCCCCCTCATTGCTATTTAGGGACCCTGCACTCCACTGGCCAGCTGGGGGCACAGGTTACCTCCCCTACAAACACTGCCCCCCATACACACACTGCCCCCACAAACACTGCCCCCCCATACACACACACTGCCCCACAAACACTGCCCCCATACACACACACTGGCCCACACACACACACTGCCCACAAACACTGCCCCCATACATACACTCCTGCCCCACAAACACTGCCCACACACACTGCTCCACAACATTCTCAAGCACCCAGTGTGTGTACACTGCCATCCCTGGCCACACACTGCACATCCATAGACAAATTGCCTCAAACGTGACATACACTGCACACTCCATACACATTGCCCCATTGTGACACATACAGTGCCCCACACACACTGCTGCCCCCCATAACAACACCTACCCCCCATACACACACTGCCCCACACATTCATACAGTCCCTCCCCCATACACACACTCACCCCACACACACATACACAGTGCTCCCATACACACACTGCCTCCATACACACATTGCCCCCCATACACACGCACTGCCCTCATATATACACACACACTGCCGCTTCCCCCAGACACACACACCTAATCTCCCATATACACACTGTCTCAAACACACATACAGTGCCCCAAACACACATACAGTGCCCCCATGCACACACTGCCCCAAACACACACATACAGTGCCCCCCCATGCACACACACACTGCCCCACACACACATACAGTGCCCCCCATGCACACACTGCCCCACACACACATACAGTGCCCCCCATACATACACTGCAGCTCTCTCACACACACAATACCCCACACATACACTGCCCCCTAACACACACACTGCAACCCTGACATACACTGCCGCCCTCACTCTCTCACACACACACTTCACCGCTTGCACACACACACTGCACTTCTCACACACACTTCACCCCTCACACTTACCACTGCTCCTATGCCCTATATCCCAGCAGACCCCAGGTAAATTGTCAAACTGTTACTTACTCTGGGATGGGATCCTGGCACCATAACTACTACACTGAGCTGTAGTGGTTATTGGGCCTGGATTATTTATTTTAATAATCTACAAGTGCCCCTCCCGAGATCAGGCTCTGTATCCGCCACTGACCCCCATAGAGTGAGGGATGACATGGGGGGCTTAGGAAGTGGCGGGGAGCACTGGTAGCTCCCGCCGGTAGCTCCCTCTTTGTAATAAACTGAACAAACGAACACCGATATTCAGTGTTTGTTTGTTCGTCTGACATTTCTATTTATTAGACAAAGGCAAAAAATGGGGGGATGGGTCTGCGCCAATGTACACAATAAATGATAATATTAAGTCCAATAGGATCTGTATTGTTGTCTCCAAAGTTCTACTTATTTCGATATCCAGATGTCAATGACGTAAAGCATAATCCAAATTAGTAAAAATAGAAGAGTTCTTACTTACAGCTGACAGAGCTTAATCCAGCTCTGGTGTGAATGGCTTACAGCGGTATTATCCCCGCTTGCAGGATATACGGCAAGTGTCGTCTACTATGTAATGGCAGGTGACCAAGTTGGAGATAAAAATGGAAACAATAATGGTGCAGTATGTGCCACACGTGCAATAAAAGGTATAAAATATAATAGATACATTCACATTCGGTAGAGCTTCGGCTAGCTCTAGTTTGTTAGGCGTGCAGCGGTATAATTCCCGCTTGTAGGATATAGGATGAGTGATCTTGACGAGAATATCAGGAGCTCGGAGAGAAGATAAAACAACGATAGTGCTCTCAATAAAATCTTGGTGATGAATAAAATAATAAGATATACTCACAGTATATAGGGCAGGCTAACTGCTCTATGTAACAGTGGTGGTATAATCCCCACGTAGGATTCTTTGGAGTATAATACCCAGGAGATAAAAATAATAAAAGAAGTATATAGTATAAAATATATATAAAAGGCCAGGTGATAGTAAAAGATGATGGTTTAAACGTAAAAAATGACCAAAATCTTTTTATTAACAGTATATAAAAACAGTAAAAGTATCCAAACGCGTTTCGCCAGTATAAGGCTTTATCAATGGATAACAAACGTTTCAACCTGGCTGGTTAGAGTTTATATAGGTATAGAAATAATTAAAATTGGCGCCAAAATTGTACAACCAATGGTAAAACAAATAATTTTTGCACATACATAACAGCATTTGATAATAAGAATTGGGTAGATATAACTTATCTGATGCTTATGACATAATTTTTGTATAAAAACGAACGTTATTTATTGAGAATTTTCATATTTTCGGCCGGACCACGTGACGCGCATCATAAGCGCAACGTCACTTCCGGCCACACGGTATTGTGGGGCATGTAGTCATAAGGTAGACTACATGTGTAAAGAGTGAATAAAGCCCTGTATTGGGCTAAGGGGAAAGGGGAGTGGCCAGGGTACACATAGGAAAGGGGCTAGTGAGGCAAAAATGATGGCGGCGGCCATCTTAGATGGGGAATGTACTCCTAAGAGTTAACATGATAAGTGGCCATATTACTAGTGGTGTATATAAGCACCTAAGTAAAATATAAAACTTAGGAACTACTGGTGAATTAAAATTAAACATATAGTACCATAATAAAAAGCATACTAAAAACCTGATGATAATAATAGTTAAAATGATAGTGTGGCGGAACCCGCCTCGCCACCTGGCATTGGAGAGGCCTGGCTGCCCGCCTCCTTCCTGCTGACTATGGCCCCTGGTAAAGTTGTACTTTTGAATGCAATATTTGGGCATATTGTATTTTATTGTGCGGCTACTGGCTCTTTAAGCACAGTGAATGGGCTTACTGAAACATTTTGGACACTTCCTCTTCCCCTCCCCCGGATCCATTGTTCTCTAGCAGGGTGTTGTCCCAGGGACACTGCCAAACCAGTGGGAACTGGTTTGCCAGGAAAAATCATGCTTGCAAGTAAAAACAAAGGACTTCGACGTAACCGTTAAACCCCTGAACCTATTCAAGTGAATTTTGGATATGTTTGTCCCCAAGTTATACTGGTTAAAATAATATAAGTTTTATGTATGTGCTATGTTAACTCACAAAGTTATAAAAATGTACAAAAAGTAACTTTTCAGCTTGGAGATAATTGAGTAGATACAGTAATTGACTCAATTATCTCCTAAGCAGAGGGGAGGAATATGCTGGGTGTGTTTCTATTTTCCCATTGTGTCTGATTGGCTGCTGTACTTGCATTGTATGTGTTGTAATGTGTTTATTGGTGGTTCTGCAAAACCCTGTGGGCAGTACTATGTTTTGTGGATTGTAATAAAAACCAGGCTGGGTGTGCCAGCACTTGAGTTCCTGTTTTAACCCTCAAAGTGAAGTGTCGTCTCATTATTGGGGGAAGGATTTATTGTATGCTGTTCCAGTTTGACTGCTAGGAGAGTAAACCTATTCGTATGGTTCCTATTCAACTGTCTACAGCATTCATATGCTTGAGAGAAGGTATACGCTTCTCTGGTTCGGTGATTGTGGCGTCTGCTGCAGTGCTTCGAGTCCTCAGGAAGCGCTAGGAGCATCTTTCAACTGAGGTACCCAGTCGGGGTGCCAGGCGATCCGTTACAGATAGGTATATGGATGAATGGTATAAAACAAATAAAATGGTATATAAAATTATTAAATAAAATTAAATAAATCAAAATCAGCGTTTAAACCATTAGGAATTAGTGTTTTCAGATTAAAAACCCATTCCATTTCACATTTACCTAAAATATTTTTAAAATTGCCTCCTCTCCATGGAATTTTTTTATGCCGATACATTTTAAAAGACCAGGATCATTATTATGGATAGTAAAATGTTTAGATATAGTATGATTTTGGTATCCATTAATAATATTTCGGCAGTGTTCTCCTAATCGTGTTTTGAGACTTCTTGTGGTCATACCCACGTATTGGAGCCCACATGGGCATTCTAGGCGGTAAATTACATTTTTAGTAGTACAAGTAATAAAATCTTTAATATTATATGTTATATTGGTTTTATTAGATTGGACATGTGTGGTTTTGGGTTTGATCGACTGATCAGTACATTTACAAACTTGTACATGGGGGGAGGAATGGGGTTAAACTTACCTCTTTCTCCAGCGCCGGGCGGGGAGCGCGCGTGCAGTCAGCCAGTCTTCTCACTGTGAAAATCTCAGTGAGAAGCGCGGAAGCCCTCTAGCGGCTGTCAATGAGACAGCCACTAGAGGCTGGATTAACCCATTTATAAACATAGCAGTTTCTCTGAAACTGTTATGTTTATAGAACAAAGGGTTAAACCTAGCTGGACCAGGCACCCAGACCACCTCATTAAGCTGAAGTGGTCTGGGTGCCTATAGTGGTCCTTTAACATTGGCCCCTTATTTTAATGTTGCACCCACAAAATTGGGGAGATATTCAGGCTCTCACAGGTTCATCCTCGTTCAGATTTCCAGTGATGCATGAAAAAAATAAAAATAAACATATTTTTTTCATGCATCGCTGGATATCTGAACGAGGATGAACCTGTGAGAGTCCATACATTATTGATGAGCCTGAATATCTCCCCAATTTTGTGAGTGCAACATTTAAATAAGGGACCAATGTTAATTAATGTTATTTCCCTAGGGTTTTTTTCTTTCTCTGTTTATGTGTTTAGGTATATCTTATTTTTCCAGTCTTTATGATTTCCCTTAAATGACCACTTCAAGTACTAGAACCACTACAGAGCAGGTGCTTGTCGCAACCTCTTCTGGAGCTAGAAGCTCCATCAAGGCACGTGTGCTCCCCTGCAATGCAGGGAAGACTGCTTCTGGCTCTAGAAGAAGCTGTGGCTCGTGCTGGGCAGACCCCAGGTTAGTTGTCAAATCATTTAATACTTACTATTGGAGGGCACCAGGACACTGCTAGCACCATAACCACTGCTGAATGCTATAGTAGTTCTGGTGCTTGTAGTGTTCTTTTAACTTTGAAAGTATGCTCCAGAGTAAAAGTTTGTGATCTATTTTTTCCTAAACCTATGCACCTAAATCCTCTGTGTTTCTATGTAGCAGTTATCACATCTACACAACTGATGAGTAAGCTGTATACTCTACCTACTTTGGTGTTTAAGGAATTGTTAAAAAAAAATTATAATAATAATCCTGCAGACCATTGGTTTTAATGCATTATCTTCTACTGACATGATCAGAAATTAAATTGGAAACTGGATTTAAACAATCAACTTTCCCTGAAAAACTGTGTATCCAATTTAGCTTTAGTGTCCCACCTTTTGCAATTTTATTGTCCGTTCACTGTGTAGTAAATAAACCTCAAAATCACGCATAAATACCATAGCTTCCTGTAGGGGTCACTAAACAACTAAGCTGTTTGGAGTGCTCTGTAAGACATGATCTGAAGTGAGAATTGTCAGGAATTCACAGTGAAGTCAGCTATGCTTCCCACTTGGTGACTTTGGCTTTACATTTCACATTCACTGCAACATCCCAACAGTTTTCACTTTAGTCCATGAATCAGTTTTTTCTCTCCCTTTTAATTTTGGTTAGAAGGTTTGTTTTTCTCTAAAACAAGGTATGAATTATAAAGATTGTTTAGTTGGTGGTGGTGGTTGATGTATCGTAGTATGCATTGAAATCACTTGATTTCCAAAATGCCCCATTGCAGCCGGGTTCTTTAAAATAAACACAATTTTGTTGAATTATAGCTCCAATAATCAAAATCACTTTGATGATGATTATCTTAAAAGCTAATAAAAGCTTGATAATCACTTTAAAAGCTAAATTCTGTTACGAAAAAAATAATACTGTAAAATCCAGATAGCTAAATGGCCCAGCTACAAATGGGTTAAATAAAGTCTGCCATCTGAATTCTTTTTAGTGTACCCTTTAATGTTCATCCACATTTATAAAAATTGTTATGCAGGCTGTGCAGATTCTATTCTAGTTATTGTACAGCTGCGTTTGAGGAAGTGTTTAAAGATCTGCTGTTACAAATGGGGATTTTTATGACTAGCATAAGAAAGAAACAAGAAATATATTTCTTTAGGTTTTTTTCCCTGTTCTTTTATCGTTTGTTTTTTTTATTTTAAGGTCTGCATATTTTCTTCCCATGCTGGTTTTGAAAGATTCTGAAACCAAGTGCATTAGCCGAGAGTCCTTCTTTATTTGCCTCAACCTTACCTCTTAGTAATCTTTCTATTTCAGATGCATGTTGCCTTTGTGTTTGAAAAGATATTGAGCTGCGCTCTTCTAAGCAGCTTTCCTTATGCAAACTCCCCTGCTAATTGCTGCTTAGACTAAATTTATTCTGCCTATCCCCACCACGGTGTTAGAGTTTTGCAAAGGTTGCTACTAGAATATTGTATTTTTACTAAGGCTTGTTTTCTTCTAGCTGTTTTTGTGCAAATCAACATCTTTTCATTACTGAATATATGTAGGTCTTTTTTCATATTTCTGAAATCATTCTGATGCAAAACAATATGATAATTGCAGTGATTTCTCAGCATAGTTTTATTCATGTAAGACTCAGGATTATATAAAAGTACTCCTTTCTGTCCCAGAGATTTTTCATTTTAGCTGGAATCGGCTAGGTGATTTGTTAGCGTAAGGCTCGCCTTAGAGGTTTGCCTCGATACAGCAGATGATTTTACAATTTGATGGCAATTTTAGTGGTACTAAAAACCTATGTCATATAAATGAGCATAGGGATTTTGGATAGTACAATGGTAACTCCCCCACTTCTATATTTGAGCTAATTAATACTATATTGGTTACTGCCACATAGTAGTGGGCATTTGAGTGCAGGGCCTATTTCTCTTTGAAGTGGTTATAGGGCTTTGAATATTTAAAGCTGGGGTCCAAGTAAACTACTCAGTTCCTGGAAGGTGGAGTGTTTAGTTCCGCTCCAAAATGCAGAACTCCACAGTTTATATTTTTTTGAAGCAAACTTTAATTTGACCTACCCCATTAATGAGGTCACATTTCCTGTCCTCATTATTTCAGATCATTTGGGCAAAGGGTACACAGAGGCTAAAACAGCTGAGAAGATGCTTTAGAGGCAATTTTAATATATCCAAAAGATGGCTATCATAGGGATATCAGGCGTGGTATGAAATTACTTTTCTTACATGCCAGACCAATGATAGTAAATGATTTATGTCCAATGATTTCACTACAAGGGCAATTGGAAAAAGGTAACCACAATAAGAGGCAGAAAAAGAGGAGAGCACGCATGACTGCATAACAAGTAACCGATTCCATGAACACATGCCCTTTAAAGTTGCCAGTGAGTGGGGGGGGGACAGCACAGTGAAACATCAATAGAGGGAAAAGAGGGCTGGTCCACCTAAAGGATTGACAAGGCAGCGTGGCGAGAATGCACGCCAGACTGCCTTTTCTTCATTTGGCCTACTGAGGGCATTGTTTCTGCAGTGTCCTAATGCCTTAAGCATAGCTCAAGTGAGTAGAATGATGCACTTGCACAAAGTCAGCACCAAAGTCAGGACAGCAGGACAGAACCCAAAAATGTCTAAATACTGAATGGTTGGGAGGCTTGTGTACAGCTAGTCCATAAAGTCCAAACATTGTAATAACAGATGGAGGTTCTGTAACCGATCCGCAAGAATTTATTGCTGGTCCGGGAAAGCTTTTGTGGACCGGCAATAATTTACCGCAAGATTTTTCCCCAGTGCTATGATCTTATGATCATAGCACCGGGAAGTGTGCCTCCCTCTCCCCTGCCGGCTCTGCAGGACTGGAGGGGAGATCAGAGATCTCCCTCTCCGGCCCGCTCGCAGTATACTGTTGGCAGCCGGCAGGGAAGGGAGGGAGAGAGGACCCGAGGGAGCTCTAACCTGCAGCTCCACCGGGTTCTCCTCTTGCGAGCTCAGAGCGTTGCCGTAGTTACCACAGCAATGATCCAAATCTTGCAAGAGTGAAATCTAGTGGCTCCTGAGGCTGCTAGAGTTCACTCTCACCACTGGGACCACCAGGGCTTCCCCACCGGACCACCAGAGATTGCAGGAAATGTCCCCCTTCCCAGGCAAACGTAAGCAGGGAGGGGGGATATCAAAATTACTATTTTTCTTTTAATTAAAAAATATATATATATTTATTAATCTACCCTCTAACCCCACAGACCCACAATCATTCTCCCCTATACAAACACACTGCCCCCCCTGTATTACGCACACATGCCCCCCCATACACACACACTGCCCCCCATATACACACACACACACTGCATCTCTCACACATACCATTGGGTTTTATTTATGGCTGACGCCGGTCCGTGAAATATTTCTCCTCTTTTCGCCGGTCCCCGGGTGCTGTAACTGATACAAAGTCATACAACAAATATACAATTTAATAATTCTGAGACAGGAGAAGTCTTTATGAGTTGCATTATCAGATTAATTTGGGGATATCATTTGAAGCATTCGTTGTGTTCAGCTATTTCATCTGCATTTGTTTGATTTGTTCATTACAAACAACTGAAAGTCTGTACATTTTGACAATAAACCTGATTATCGATGGGTGTTGAATAATTTTGATTTCAACTGTAGTACACTTTATTAGAGCATTTAAAAATAAATACAAAATCTGAAACACTTAAAAGAACACTCCACTGGCCATATTATAGAAATCAGCACTTTCATAAACTGGGGTTAAACTATGATACTGCACACCAATAAAGTACTTCGGCAAGCTGAATTGTTTTTTGGGTGTGCAGTGGTCCTTTAAGTAGAAAATAGGTGTTCTTGTTTTTTTAATTACAATGTGGTAATTTTTTATGTCTGTTTTCATGATAATTTTAAAAAAGTCAGAAAAAAAAAATACAGTTTTTTAATTATATGTAATCTACTGAAGCAGACATATACGCACCAATGTTGGTGGGTGTTAACCTTGTTTTATAAATGTGAAATATGTTAATCGCCATGTCTGTATATTTTGGCCCGCATGCATGGGGGGAAGTGATACTCAAACCCGGAAACTTGCTCATGACTAATTAAACATTCGTTTCCAAATAAAATGTCCAACTCACATCAATAGGTGAAAATGGACTCCATATTTATTGAGGTCCCCACAGCAAGCTGAACAGCACTTCAGCCTAACAATATGTATTTATCAAGTTTTTCAATTAACTTGAGAAAGTCCTAGGTTGAAACATTGTTGAGCTTGCTATGCAAAGCTCAATACATTTTGGGGTGGTTCTTTGTTTGTTTGTTTTTTTACCTATTGATGTTTGCTGGACAATTTTTTTTTTTTTTATGAATGTTGGATGCATTTTTGCATCTTCAAGAAGTTAGTACACATATGCGAGTGACTGTTGGTGGCCCTTTTTATGTTCTGTTGCTTATAAATTTGTGTGTTGTGTTTTTTTGGGGGGGGGTAAAGGGGGGAGTTCTTGACAAGAATGAATCTAAGATAGGCGCGGACAAGTGAAGATGGTGCTTGCGAGAGTAAGGGATGAATTTACATCTCTGACTCACTCCAAACTGGCCGTGCCACCACCCATCCCCACT